GCTGCTGTCGGTGCCGCCGGTGTCGTCGGAGCGGCGCATGTAGGGCGAGCGGCGGACGCCGGACAGCAGCCCCGAGGCTCTTCTCACCGAGTAGTAGCTAGGGCCGGCCGCTTGTTTGTACCACGCCTCGGCGGGCGGGCCGAGCAGCGCGGCCAGAGCCAAGCAGGCCAGCGCCACGGTGGGGGGTCCCCTCATAGTGCGTCTGGCGGCGGCGGCGCAGGCTCGGGCTGGGCACCCACCATCGGCGGCGCCTTATATCGGGGCGGGGAGAGCGTGGGCGGGGTGGCTCAGCCTCCTCGCGGAGCCCCCTGCACTCGGCGGGAGGGCAAAACAGCAACAACAGACGGCCCCACTTGGAGCCGAGACACTGTAAGGTCCCCGGGCGCTTCCTAGACGCCAGGCTCACCTTTCGCGAACCCAACACCTGTGGGTAGTTGGGGGTCGCATCCTGTCCCAGTTTCGGAGGCCAGCAGGACAGATCCTCCGATTTGGGCATCTTTTCCAAATTGGGGAGATGTCAGGTTTGCTGCCGGAGAACCAGCGACAGCAGCCAGCGACAAAACTCCACAGCACAAAGACAGCAGGCTAGATTCCTCCCGGGTTCTTGTGTCCGGTGTCAGACAGCAGGAAAACTCAGGAATTACTTGGAAGGGGAGAGAGAAATGTCCCCATCAATTCACTGTGCTGAGATTTCAAAAACTTTTCTTCCTCTGAATCTGTGTTCTGTCCTGTTGTAGTTTAAAGCACAACTTCTACTAGTCTATTGCGCCTCCTATTTGTACAAAATGACTGATTTTTTCTTTGAGATGCCTACTCTTGGAAGAATGCTTTATATGGATTAGTTTCTCTTTAAGGTTCTAAATACTATGTTACCACATGCACCCACTTTCATCTGTATTCTTAGGCAGGTGTGGACTCTCTAACTTGCCTTCAGGAGTTAAGCTCAGTGTCAAGGAGTGAAAAGTACTGAGACTTACTAGCGATTTCAGCTCTCATACTTTATTTCAGCTCAGAACAAGACAAGTTTACCCGGCTCACAGGCCGGTTTATATGTGCAACAGTCCCACTCCCCAAACACCCCCCCACACTAGTGATTGGCTATTTACAGTGGCCAAGAGTTCCATGGGTGGTTGGGTCCTCCAAGTCGTACGGCAGTACCCGCCAACGCAGCTAGCGGTGGAGTATCTGGCCGTCCTTGCTGGAGACCTCATATGATCAGGGTCCCCTAACTCTTACCACCCAGGCTGGGATCCATGGCGGGCCTCGCGCATAGTTCCTGGCATAAACCGGATCCTCGGGGAAGAACCCTTGGGCTGCCTCAGGTGACTGTGGCCAGCTCTTCTTCCGGGGCTCGACCGGGGTGAAGGCAATCCAGTCGGGAACATCAGGCGCCGTCCTAGGAGGAGCTCCACTGGGCTGCGTCCCATCGTGGTGTGGGGTGTCGTTTGCTGGCCAAAGAGGAATGCTGCTCACTTGTAGTGGAAGACGGCTCAAAGCGTCGGCGTGTCCCATCGCTTTTCCGGGCCGGTGGACGAGTGAATAGGCGTACCCTGCCAAAAAAACGGAGCACCAGAGCACCAGGGGCAACGTCATCTGGGGGGTCTGGCAATCCAGCGCCAGAAGGCCGAGCAGCTGCTTATGGTCGGTCAGGATCATGAAAGGCCGACCATACAGGTAGTGGTGAAATTTTTTCACCCCAGCCACTATAGCGAGCGTCTCCTTGTCAATCTGCGCATAGTTGCACTCCGCAGATGACAAGGTTCGGGAGTAATAAGTTACCGGAACCTCCCGGCCATCCGGTAGCTGGTGGCCCAGGACTGCCCCGAACTGTACGGGGAGGCATCGCAGGCTAAGACCACTGGCAGCGCCTCATTAAAGTGGGAAAGGACCGAATTTGAGACAAGGAGGTCCTTTGCCGCCTGGAAAGCGGCGGCGTGTTCCGTTCCCCAGACCCACAGAGTGTTCTTATCCAGTAGGCGGTGCAGGGGCTCCGCCACAGCTGCCTTCAGAGGGAGGAATGAATGGTAAAAATTTAGGAGACCAAGAAAGGCCTGTAGTTCGGACTTGGACGTAGGCAGAGGAGCCTGGGTGATCGCCTTTGTCTTGTCCTCGGTGGGGTGAATACCAGCACCATCCACTGCGAACCCCAGAAACTCCACCCTGGGCACTCCCAGAAGACATTTTTCATGTTTGACCTTTAAGCCGGCAGAGTCAAACCTGTGCAGCACTGCTCGCAGCCGTTCCGCGAAGGTCGAGGCATCCGGAACCGCAATGAGCACGTCATCTAAAAAATGGCTGAACCCCCGGAATTCCTTTCAGGAGAGAATCCATGAAAGATTGAAAAATGCCTGGCGTGACTGACACTCCAAAGTGCAGTCTATGTACTTTGAAAGCCCCCTTGTGTGTTGCTATCGTTTGGGCTTCAGCAGTGGCGGCATCCACTGGCAGTTGCTGGTAGGCCTGGGCCAAGTCCAGTTTGCTGAAAACCCGTGCCCCCGCCAGTGCGGCTAACACGTGGCTGACCACCAGTACAGGATACACGTGGTCTTGGAGAGCTTTATTCAATGTGCACTTATAGTCGGCACAAATTTGCATGTCGCCGTTAGGCTTCACCGGGGTGACTATCGGCGTCTCCCACTGTGCTGATGCGATGGGCTCTAACACCCCCTGGGTAACCAAGCGATCAAGCTCTGCCTTGATCTTTGGCCTCATCGCAATAGGGGGGTGTCTGGCCTTGACCCTGATGGGGCAGACGGCCGGGTCGAGATCTAAGGATATGGGGGGCCCGGTGTAGCAGCCGAGTGTGCCGTCAAAAACCCTGGGGAATTCATTACACACATCCCTGAAGTCCGCTGCCCGGATCTGGTTGATTCCCGTGATCATCAGTTCCAGGGGCCCGAACCATGAAAGTCCCAGTAAGCTGGAGAGCCTCCCCACCACCACCAGCAAGTCCAATTTTCCACAAAAGTCTTTAAATTGCACTGTAAAGTTGCCCCAGCCCAGGACCGCCACAGAGTTCTTGTTAAAATCCCTCAACTTAAACCCCTGTGGCTTCTGCGGAGGGGGTCCCCCCCCCGTGGACAGAGCAAGTGCAGCGTCTCTTCGGAAATAATGGAGAAGGACGACCCAGAGTCTATTTCCAAGCTGCAGGCGGACCCCTCTATAAACACCGTTACGTGCACCTTATTGGGGCTATCGGGGCAAGTTACATATCTGGTGCTGCTGCTGGTGGTCCGAGAGGGTATGCAGGTCCTCGTGGAGATCTGCTGAGGTCTGGTGGGCTGAAGTCTTCTGGGGCTGTCCACGGGAGCAGCAGACTCTGGCGAGATGGCCCGGCTTCTTGCAAGAGCGGCAGATGGCATCTCGAAAATGGCAAGTCCGGCGTTCATGCGCCTCTCCGCAACTGGCGCAGGAAGACGATGAAGAGGAGGCTTTGGCCGAGGAAGGTCCCACTGGGCGATGCTGCTGTTGGGATGAATGGCGGCGTACCTGGAACACTTCCTCGTCTTCTGAGTCGACTGACTCGAGGGCTGCTTGAGTGTGATGGACCGCCTTTACGTGGCGGTCTTGATGCGCCTTTTCATAGGCCACTGCCTCACGGAGCACCTTGTCTAGATCGAAGTCATCCTGGCTAACCAGCTTCCTCCGAAGCTTGGGTTCCCGGAGACCCAAGAGGAACTGGTTTAGCAAGGCGTCCGGCAGGTCAGGAAAAGAGCACCTGGTGGCCACCCACTGGAGCCCGGCCAGGAACTTGTAAGCCGAATTGTCTGGACCCTGGACTCGCGCAAAGAAGTCCATGCGCTCAGCAAACTTTGTGGGCTTTGGCGAAAGGTGGTCAGACAGCGCTTTCACCAACACCACATAGGAATCGTCCTTGGTCTGCTTAAGCCAATGAGGTTCTTGAGCAGCAAGACGGTGTCTATGCCACAGGACCGGAGGTGGTGGGCCTTCTTTTTACCTGGGTCTACGATGTCGTGGCAGTCGAAGTAGCTCTCCAGGATTTTGAGCCATGTCTCCCACTGTGTGGGGCGAGAGATGTCGAAGGCGGCAGTGCTTTCCTGGGAGGTAGCCATCATACTGCTTCCACGTGGTAAATGAAGCTCCGGAACGGAGGCGGCTGGATCGAGATGGGGAGTGCTGCTGCTCTTGGGGTCAGCAGGGCGAGGTACGGAGCGAGGAGCGGTGCAGTGAGCGGCAAACAGAGAACCCGGGCACGAAGCAGAGCGGTGTGCGGCAGTCTCGGTGCTTGAATCTTCGTCCGAGTCGTTGTTCATGGGAGGTAGAATCCCATCCTCGTCGCCAGTAATAAGTACTGAGACTTAACTATCAATTTCAGCTCTCATACTTTATTTCAGCTCAGAACAAGATAGGTTTTCCCAGCTCACAGGCTGGTTTATATGTGCAACAATCCCACTCCCCAAACACACCCCCACACTAGTGAGTGGCTGTTTACAGTGGCCGAGAGTTCTATGGGCTCTCGGCCAGGAGCCTAGCCCTCCGATTGGTGCGGGCTAGAATCCGCTTGGCCCATTGTTCATGATAGCGAAGCTCAGCCGCTTCGCATGACCGCATGGCGACCTAGCCACGCACGTGGTCAGAGATGGATACATTACAAGGAGAAACATCTTCCCGCTTCCACTTCTTTGCTTTGGGAAACTGAGGCTAGCTTGGGAAACTGAGACACTTGCCAGTTAAGGGGAGCAGAATATGTGATTTAGGGATCTTTACCTGGACAGTGTGCAAGCAAGTTCCAAGTGACTCTAATCGGCTACCAGTAACCATGAAAGAACCATATTTTTTTCTGAAGCAAGGTTTAAAAATTTATTGAGGGAAATGTAGGGGTTCAGGAATACTCAAGCATAAGAACAATGGAATTGTGTTCAGAAGGACCTGTGTACCAAGAGTTAAATGAGAGGAGAGAAAGTGAAAGAGCCAAGCCAGAGGCTATACCAGGGAATGGTCAGAGAAGTGGGAGACAGAGGGATTTAAAGAAGGGGAGAGGTTTTAAAAGAAAAAGAGTGAACTGAGAAGGATTTTACCTATCCTCAGTCTGCCGAGCTGGGTAGAGTATGTTGTCTGTTTAGATGATCCAGTGATTCAGTGTGGGGCTTACAGAGGTCCCAAGGAAATAGATTTGCTGGTTCCAAAAAAGAAGAGTGGATCTTGCAGACTGAATCAACCGTGAGACTGCACAGTTTTGGCTGGCAGAACACTGATTTAGGAACCGGCACAAAATAATATCAA